ACAAAGTTTCCAAAAATTCAAATTATATATATATGTATATATACATTTATATTTATATAAAAAGACCAATAATAGCAGTATGTTATGTATCAATAGCAACAACAGCTTTTCCAGGTTCTGCAGTCATCTGACCAAAATTATAGACACTCAGCACATTACATTAAAAAATAAACAAACAAAAAAACAAAGAAAAGAATACTATCCAGAAAACAGCAAAGTTCTGTTGCTGTTGTGGTGCCTGGTACCATTTTTTTATTAGCATTTTAATAATCATCTGGAAAGAGAACATTCTAGAGTAATATCATTAAATACAGCTCTGGTAAAGCACAGTCACTACTATGTATCATGAAGCAGGTACAAGATATTTTACATTCACAGAGGTATGATATAGTTCCATCCTACATCAATAATACTAAAATCAGTTTTGGTTTGAAATTTGCTTTGTCTGCAAATAAGATTGCTACACCTGCTTTTTTCTGGGCTCCTGTCACATGGAGAATTGTTTTCCATCCTTTCACTTTCAGTCTATGGGCTTCTTTTTGCACTAGGTGTGTTTTTTGTATACAACATATTGTTGGATATTGTTTCTTATTCCATTTTACCAGTCTATTTCTCTTGATTGCTGAGTTGAGGCCATTGACATTGATGGTTATAACTGATATGTACTGACTTACTATTGACATGTTATTGGCCTTTTGTTGACTCTTTTTACTTTTTCACCTTCTCCTTTTAGTTTCTTGCCTCTTGCCTATTTGATTTGCTCTGTTGGGCCTCATGGTGTTGTTTTTGCCTTCATTGTCTTTTTCTAGGATCTTGTTTAGAATTGCTTGTAGTACGGGTTTGGTATTCATATAGTTTCTCAGTTGTTCTTTGTCATGGAAGTATCTTATTTCTCTGTCCATTTTGAAAGAGAGTTTTGCTGGATACATCAGTCTAGGTTGGAGGTTGTTCTCTTTTAGTACTTGAAATATCTCATTCCAGGCTCTCCTTGCCCTAAGGGTTTGTGTTGAAAAGTCTGCTGTGATTCTGATGGGCTTTCCTCTGCATATGATTTGTTTCTTTTCTCTTACTGCTTGTAGTATTTTGTTCTTCTGTTGGGTTTCTGGGATCTTGATTATTATATGTCTAGGTGTAGTTTTTTTTTTGATTGTGGTTAGTTGGGGTCCTATATACCTCAGTTATCTGAATGTCAAATTCTTCCCCTCTATTTGGGAAGTTTTCTGTCATTAATTCTGTGAACAGCTTTTTTAAGTCATTTGTAATTTCTCCTGCTACTTCATGTATCAGTCTTAAGTTATTCTTCTTTGCATCATCTAGGAGTTGTTGGATCGATTTCTCATGATCCCCTACTGTTTTTTTTTTTATTGAGTTTATTGGTACATTTAGGGATACAGTACAGTTACATTCATTGTTGGGATCATGTACCTTTACATGGCAAGTCTTGATTCTCATTTTTT